AACAATCCTGGTGATTGCGACGGCCTCGCGGACCAGTCACTGCATATAGCATATATAGGCCCGACGCAGGCCTTCTCCACACTTGACGGCCCAGCAGTTCAGTTCGGATAGTTGATATGCCGCCGGCAGCCGTAGCAGTCTCAGTGAACCGCCAACCCCTTGTATTGGGTTCGGTCCCCAGTACGCCTGTCTAACTTCGTAACATCTTTCATTGACTCTGGTTAGGAGGGGTGACCCTTCAGTGAAACGTTCTTATTATCCGCAGCAGTTCGTTTCTCGCTGGTGAGTGCGAAAGAACAAAGAAAGCAAAAAAGTAGGGGTAACTAAGAGCCGTGCGACTACTCAACTTCTTCAATTTCGAGGTTCACAGGGCTTCTGGGCACTTCGTTATTCTTTTTTCGCCTCCTGTATTTGCTACCGCTGGATCCGAGCAGCATCATAATAGCTGCGCCGACCGGTAACGATGGTGGTGATCTTCCTAATAGTAGATGATCGCTGACGGCGGCAGCCGATCCAGAACCCTCCTAGCAAACGAGTCTTCACCAAGACGAAACTAAACCAGGGTAAGCGAGGCGGAGCCACTGGAGTCTTCTGCTCCCTTCTCTTTCCTACTAAATCTTATATACAAGTGTGTCCTTGTTCTAGGTCGACTTGTTCTTTTAGCTGTTGTTGGCATTGTGTGTTGGTCCGAAGAGCAGACCTTGAGCTCAGAGATGCGCAGCTAAACTTCGTCCGGCAGGCGAGCAGCAGTCTAATTCATACTAGCTTCACGGCCGGCAAGGTTTAGTGATGGACCCGTTCCAACTAACCGCGAGCGAACAGATCTCTCCGCCTCGTCGACACTTTTGGCTATTTTCATCAGTAGCGAACCAAGCCCAAGAAGGTGTTCGTGAGCCGCTACGATTTGTGTCTGTGGCTAGTGTGAGCCATGGCGGCAGTACTATTTACGCCGACCCAGCCGCAAGCGAGAACGGCTGACAGAGATAAAGAGAAAACGATAGAATGTAAGTGGGAGAGAGTCACCAGTCGGTCCTAAGGGGCACCCCTAAGATCCCTCTCGTTTGAACCTGTTGGAAGTAACTTGTTGGCAGAGAACTACTGTGTCTAACTGTACCCAATAAGTTCTCCAGTTTTGGTGGCGGTTTTCGCCGGAGAGTCACATCTGGACCCGACAGCCCTAACTGCCCCCGGCGATGAGACTGCTGGCTTAGCCCCCTCGACCTTCTCATCAAGTTGGGGGAATACGACCGTTACTCCCGCAAGACACTTGAGTCGCGCTACCCGTCAATCTGCCATGCATTTGTTCTATAATAATAGAATGCATACGGCATGAGTGCAAAAAATACTGAGTGTGGCCGTCCTGTTTGGTGACTTACTTGCAGTGCCTCGGCATCTAGCTTGATACGCGTGAGCGCATGCATAGCAGATATCGATTTGTGGAAATTTATTTGACGGTGCGGGCTAGCAAGGATCACCAGTCAGCAGCTGGTAGGATTTTCTAGCCTCTACGAGTTACCTAGTATGCTGTCCTAGTATGGTGGCGTTGTTCCGTTTACCTCTCAGCGTGGACATAAGAAGCTGTGGAGGAGTGTTACCTTGACATAAGATATAGAATTACTTCGTTGCTTAAGACATTCTACTTTGGTCATGAACGGCTCGAACATTTTACATCACAAAGCAACTTCTTGCAATATTCTGACCTGGCAGTTACAAGTCTCCGTTAACGCTATCAGTAGTATGTGGTCATCGTGGGAGGAAATTTTGATTTTTTTTCTGTCTCAATCATGGATGATAGACGAACAGAAGTACAATTTGTTCTACAAAAAATTGACATTTGACGGCGTGAGCGTATCGAGTGTCACCAAACGATCTCTCCGCAACTAGAAGCTGGTAGAGCGCACTGCCAGTTATTGTACGGGCTAGCCAGAAATGTCTCCTATTTTAAGTTGTCACAGGTGATAGAACTTAGCAGATACTTGTATTCGTTCCACCAGGTAACACCCTGGTAGAGCTCTTGGTATTATTATTTATCCTAGTTAAACTTGCAGCATTTTTTATTCATCAAGCAATCATTCATTTCAAGCATCAATCAAATATATGGAGACGGCAAAAATCTACGGAAGTCAAACTCATTGAATCGCTGAAATCGTATGCCGTTGCTTGAATACAGCATACTCGAAAGCTTGCAAATAGAGCCCGGTAGGTTTTCGAATTAAAATGAAAACAGTTTTCCTGGCACAACAGACAAAATACACATAAAACAAACAATGTCCAGCATACTGTACATACATTTTGGAAGGAAAGCAGGTGTACCGCATTCATCATGCACGTCGAGCTATTATTTACGATTTCGCCATCATGCATCATTGGCTGGTCCGGTAGGCGCAAGCACTCAAGTAGACGGCGCTCGGCGAATGTGGATTAGTAGTCTGACGGAAGGGGGGATGACTAGATGTCAGAATAGATACCGACAACTACGACGAACCTTGAGAATACAACTGACGAAACAGCGTGGCCACAGGGAAGTGTGACCACAAACAGGCCTGAAACAGCCGGGCAGGGGGCGCTAGGTGGAGCAATTCTCAAGCACGCGACCAGCGATGTTTAGAGGGAGGAGGAAGTGTTGTTGCACAGATCAGAAATATTTTCACTCAGTAGGAAGATTATCTGTTCTTTACTATTTTTGTAGTATTTGTTGATATTGACCTTCGCCTAGCTGAAAGTCTATGTTCTTGTAGTAGCTGCTGTAACGGAGTTGTGTTGGTGACAGCTAGGACGACGCCATCGTCGTTACTGTGGTCGTCTGCTGAGTTTGCAGCTTTCCCGTATTCATTTTCAATATGGAGGCCTAGACGTTACATGCGAAACACAACAGAATACTACGAGTGGACCTTATTAGTATTATCGACGAACAGTACAAGCTCGTTTTTCTAAACGAGGTATTTTTTTTTCTAGAAGTTGTTGCTGTGTGCTTCATTTTAGCATGCCCTGCGTGCGTCCATTGAACGTACTAACTAATCAATCCGATCAAAAGGGGCTCTCCGATCAAGGGAACGTAAATAATAAAGCCTGCAAATGGATGCTATCCACATCATGCGCGCTGGTTGAGGATCCGTTACGATCTGTCTCAGAAACGATTTACTGGATCAACTAGTCTCTCAGGTCCCGTAAATGAAATAATTAACAGTGAAACAACAATAGATCGCTATGAAAAACTGAAACAAACATTTCGTAGGTTGAACACAACAGCTTGGCACAGAGTAAGTCTATTGAAAATATACATGATCAATAAAGGCTCAACTATAATTTAGCTTAGATAGCTCAGGATCGATGTGCGTTACTACAGAACTGATGTACCTGCCAGATGCCCGCTACAAGCGATGCTGGGATTAGTACAGGATAGCAGAGAACGAGATTAGCATGTGCAGTCGGTGTTCTTTTGGTAGAGAGATGGGAGAAGTTGTGCTAAGGAGTGAACGATGTTCCTGAAGTAATACGCGCCCTACAATTCAGCTTCTGAAAATACGCCTTTTTTTGATATTGTTTTTAGTATAGCTCGCTGAAATTGCTCCAGACGAACGCAAGTACACACGCACATCGAGTGTTCAAATGATAATTATTTACAGGTTACTGTTGTCGTAATAACATAATTCAACCTACTGTGGTTCAACTGCACACCGCTACACCTATTAGTGGCAGTTAATTATCTCAGGCTCACGAGCTAGCTAGGTCGCTGCCCCTTATCGTACTTTATAATTCGTGCGATTTGTCGATCTTTATTCAATTTAGTTGTTTTATTGATTATGGGAGATCGCTGTTACTATATCGTCAACGTTTGGGATGATTTTATCATATGATAGATGTCTGTTTTTTTTTTCTTTCTTTGCTTTTCAAGTAAAATATGTGTGCTTTTTGACTTAGGTGGTTTTCCCACTTCTGTAGTATATTATTGGTTTTATCGGACGATGATATACGTGACAATCAATCACACCATAGAGCAGCCATAAGTATTCGCACAGCCAACTCGACCGACGACGGCTACAGCGTTATCAGCAACGGGCGGTAATAGCACAGTGATAAGAGATAGGTAGTTGGCGGGGGGTTAAATTACCATTTTTATCAAATTGACTTCGCTGACGCTGCTGTAAGTCTGCCAACTAGACTGATCTGACAGCTCAACCTCCTGTCAATCCTATTGTCAATCCTATACTAGAATCCTACTCTACTTGTTGATCAAGGGTCGTAGAAGCGACGCTGCATCCACTAGAGTCCAATCGTCGTGAAACTTCTTAACGGTGGCCTGACAACCATATCTATGGTCTCGTACCTATCTTGGTACGGATGCTCTCTACTTTTTGGCTCAGAACCTTTTGACCCGGCAAAGCGATATGACGGCCTCTATAATAAAATGCCGCATGCAAAAATCGAGCAAACAGGCTGCTCTGACACTGAGCACGTACCGTGCCAGGCAGCGGAAGACTCGCAATCAACGGAAGCGGCATCGGCAAATCGAAAAAAATCATCGATAAAGGAGAGCATAATCAAGTGTAGCAAAATAAGCCTATTCGCAAAAAGCATCTTCTAGCGAAGTTGTCCTATTGGTGGGCTTTTTTTTTTCCCGTTTGTTTTTTTTCTTGGCTTTACTTCGGTACAAAACATAAATTAAGCTCGAATGCCAAATGTTTGAAATGAACCGGGGAAAGTACTATAGGCGAAGGCTAGCGGAAGATCAAATAATCAACAAAATAATAGGAATACGACTTTAGCTGCTGATAGTCGTACTCGACACGATAAGGAGTGACCCTTTACCTTTTGCTAGCTTTGCACTTGATTTATATTTACGATCGATTCTTCATCATACGATACGATACGGTACATTTCTGCGAGTCGCCTCTCTGCGAACTCGTCAAGGAGTAGTTCAATACGATTGGAGACGAATTTTTCTTTAAGCGGTCGGGAAGTACCAAAAGGAAGATATGAATGCGTCTTATACTATTAACAGTACTTCACAAGACAGTGTACATTACGGGACACATAAAATTAAGCATTTTCCTAGACATGATATTTCAACATAACAGTAATTCAGTGAAGATAGACACAATATGTGCGTCTTTTGTATATTTTTCTGTTGTTATTCCTTTTTACGAGTAGAAGAACCTTACTGCGACTTGTTTAAAAGGCAAGTCCTTGTCCCATCTAGCTAACTAAAACCATTTTTCCTATTCTACTCTACTGACGGCAAGCAAGCACAATCATAAACATAAGCGTATGATTTTGCTTTACGCATACGTGCCCGATTTGAGCATTTGGCAGACGGTAGCAGGTCTGTTCGAGTTGCCATACGATCTGGTCGAGCATATCTCTACAGCATCTTGCGTCTCCTACGAAACGAAAAAAGATCCAATGCGAGCATCGTTGTCATGGCGTCGTGCTGTGAAATGTTAGGAGGAAACGGTGAAAGCACCTCACATGACAGTAGACGGAACAAAAAAATTATCACGCAAAAAAATAAGATGTCATACTAAAGGAATCCCAAACGGTACGAGGATTGCTATGGCAATTCCAGTGTGCAGTTGTATTAGTACTAATCGCAATCACCTCTGTCGTTGCTTGCCATTTTAGCTGATCAGCCTATTGAGCAATTGTGGTTACCGAGGAAACTCAGTCGAAGAATACGTAAGGCCCTAGGCCCGGAAACGGACACCGATGGCTGGCATCGTCATATGTCCACTTTTGCTGCCGCTTCCGTTCGGTATGGCGGCGTCATTCTGGGATCTGCTTCCTAAAGATTGACCGGACAGTGGTCGAATTACGGAAATGTTCGGAGGATGTCAAAGATGTCAGAACAGGAGCGACGCCCGATGGAAGCGAATGTTAACGCAGGTACTCGAGAGATACAATGGCTATTATTGCGTCATTTGTCTTTCGGTCAACAGCATTGTCGACTATAGTTCTGCTACTGGGAGAATGAACTGGTCTTTGTCATCACCGGTTCTCTGCTCGGGCACGATTGATTTCTACTGGCAGTACCCGCCATGGACATTGTCGCTCTTTTTGTACCACATTTCTTCCCCGCTTCGCTCGATGCGCCATGAGATATCACTACGGGTAGCAGTAATAGTTCAGCGTTTAACAAAGTCGCTTCGACTACAGTCGCTGGAAGAGGCAAAACTTTCGTTTCTCTTTCCTGAACTCAGCCAAACCCTGGCTCGTTGCTGTATGCCAGCAGTGGACAATGTTCGATTCTCCACTTGCGTTCGATACTTCGCGTTACTTTCATCGTTGACCATTCGGGCGACAATTCAAATATGAAATATATCGAATGAACAGCGGTTGGGGCGACTTTCGGCTGTGCTGGTGCCCCCGATGCTCTTTATGTGATCTCTGACACAATGATGCGGAAAAACGAAAGAATATCGAAACTATCCTTCAGATCCCCCGATAGAAGGCGTCAGTGTCCCAGTGTTTCATTCCCCTGGTCCAGCATCACTGCTTTGTTATTTATTATCATCATGTAATAATAAGATTACACCATTATCGTTATTGTTATATTTGCTAGTAGATACACTAATTGAGTTCTATTATGTATTTCAACATGCTGACTAAAACAGTTCACGATCTAGTTATTTTTAAAATGTCGAATTTTTAGGCCTGCGATGATACCCGCTTCACGTTTGTGTAGTAAACTTATGCTCTCATCCGGTGCACTTCCCTATCGTTCCATGAACACTGCGGCGCCCTGTTCGCTCAAAGTGAATGTTTTGCCTTCGCTCAGGCCACCCCCGTTAAGGATTGCACATACGGCATTCTCTATAACCGATCGCCTCCTTAATTGAAATGAGAACAGACGTTCCGCGCGTTTAGCCCCCTAGACCTTTAATTTCCGCAACCATTACGCGCAGCCACTTTTCTTCTGGTCTAAGGGCATATGGCAGGGTGGACGTGGAAGCGTTGTGCCGCTATATAGTTTTCTGTGATCATGCATGTTAATTAGTATTTCCCGAGTGACAATGCGTCGTTGCTGTTTCCGCTGGACTTGCGTAATCCGCAACAGCGCGGTGTTGTTATTGGCCAAGACAGAAGCCCGTTGACGAGTACATATCCAGGAACACCTGCACCTACATAATGTCTAATAGTGATCTCGTTCGGAAAGGATCTGCCCCGTATATTCTCATAACACTGGCCACCTAAAGTCCTCCTAAGTTTGTAATGGGCGCCACCATATTTTGCATCCGACGCGCTTAACTTGTTCCGTATCACTTGAATGAACCGAATCTAACCGATGCTAGCGCTGGGGTCTCTGGCTTGAACGCAGCTCTGCCTACTACAGGCCCAGAGACTTGATCTACTATGCACGCTGGCTTCTCTGACGACGGTTCAGCTTCTTCTATGCCCCGGTGCGTTCAGGTGCGCAGGCCTTTCGGGGGCCGTAGAGCCAGACGGCGATGCTAGAATCAGATACACAGGGGTGATTTTTTTAAGGTCTTTTAGGAATGTATCAAAACTGAAACGGTTCTGGCAAAGCTTGCAGCCCGGCCAGACCAGACTGATATTACGATAATGAAAGCAATCTTGCGAAATACTATTACGACAATTTTGTTTTATTTTTCCATTCTGTATGTAAGCGAAAAACCTGCCACGTCGAAAACTTCAGGACACCTATCGAACGACGTTACTAAACTGTAACTTCATGTTCATTTAGCCGGTGAAGAGTAAGGCGATATCGGGAACATGTGATTCGATTGTGTTTATCCTAACCTAAGCTGTAAAGTTAATGCTTACGATTTTGTTTCCACAATGAGTTTACTACACCCTAGTCTACAGTATAGTGACCTTTAATTTACATCTCAAGAGTTCGCGTACGTTTAGACATGGCTTCATTATCTTTTATTGGGTTAACCTTATGACCGGCGTAGCTAAATCAGCGATCTGACAAGTCGGCCATGGTAATGGCATATGGTCGGGAGAACCCGAACGTAAACTGAACATCGCAACCGACAAAAGCAGTCGCGCAATCATAGAAGTTCACGCGCTCAAACCGAAACGGAGCGCTAGCGATAACCGAGAAATTCTTTGACCCTTTAACAATGTTGTACCGCAAGCAGTAAACGCTTATGGCAATATACCCAGTGCCCAGGGATTTGCCCACCATCAGCTGCGACTGTTTTTCTTCTATTACTATTACTTTCAAAGACATTGCTTTCTTAAGCTCTATATAGCGCTAACCATTGTGCTGTGTTTACTGCGGGAACAGAATCTCGGGACTAAGCTTGGCAACTAGGCCATATGTAAATGAATTTTTTTCTATATAATTTATTCAGATAAATGTTTTATTATTACTGTAAACTTGGACTTCGGAACTGAGCAACAAAGATTATCCGCAATATTTTATAATACCTTGATTGCATTCCTTGAGAAAACAGTATTAGGCGAACAGGCCTGGCACGATGTGATTCAGCGAATTGGCTTAAGGCTCGTCTGCTACATGGCTTTTTTGAATTGCTGTTATTTTTTTTACTGCTTTAAGATATTAGAAGAAGCACATCTCCGGCATAGAATCATTATAGAACTCTTTTACCCTTTTTTGTGCCATTCTCAATAAACATGATATCATGGTAAAGGCAGATGGTTTTTTATATTTTCCACGAATCATCTGCGGTCACGTACTTATCTCTATTTTAATTCTCGACTTTTTTCGGTAACCTGTTCCCTTTCTGTTCGACATGCTTAGTAAGGCCGATCTGAACAACCTTGCTACCATGACACTTGACATTAATCGTTATGTCAGAGGAAAGAACAGAGGTGGACAATCGTTGTCGGTGGAATCAGTACCCAGTGGATCAGATCGATGATACAAAACGAAAACAGTTTACCAGACTCACTGTAATTGCTCAAATACTCGAAGCACAGCTACAGGGAGTGGATACGACACACTGTAACATTAATATTAAACGACAGTAAAAATGCATTTTTCACTTAAGTGACGCCTCTCAGAAACGCTCTGAGCCCCCTGTACAATTTATCTTATTTATGTAAACAAAGAGTTTACTATTATTACTATTATGTATGTTTCTGTGTGAATGATCAACGAATGAAAAGTACTGACTACTTCGAATTTGTTCGAGTAAGAAGAAGAAGAATGGAGATCCCATGGTCCATAACCAAACGTTTGCTGAACGACTTCGAAATTGAAAGTAGTTGATTCCTAAAAACTCAGCGTCGGCGTCCAACTGGACTTCTTGACGGTCACATGTATCGTTGCATTAGAGTTTTACAGCTGTGCACTCTAACTCACAGCCACTTTCCTAGACGTAGACATCTCGGTGACGGTATGTGGCTCTTTTCGTTTGGGCGCCGGTAAGCCAAGAGGCCGAAAAAATGGGTCGCCGCGACGGTCACACTGGTTCGGAAGTTTCGCTCGTGGAACACTAATTGCCCGCAGGTGCTACTCCAACTCAGTTCCTTCCGTATGAAACAGAGTTTGGCGTCTTCGCCCGTACCACACATTCACGCGGTCCTTCTTCAGGGTATCCTCATCTTTTGGGCAATAGGACGCTGCTGGATTCTGAACACAGCGTTTTACTAACAATATATTGGGTGTAAGTGAAGTCATCGATGCGGCAGCTTGATGCTGTCTGAGTATGTCAGCACCTTGCGCTCAGAAAAAGCAGAAGCTCGTACGCTTGTGTTTGCGTGATATTTGTTACCCCAATAAACAACTATTCGAGTTTAAAGAGTCCAAGCTTCTGCTGGAGTTAGACAGTCAGTGATCGCGTCACAGTTTAATTTATAATAGAAGATTTGCTACTTCGTTCGTTGAAAACATTCCTTACTGTTCTGAATTGGTATTTCCATCCGCCAGTCAAGGCTTGTCTGTTGGTGGAGAACGGATATTGCGTTGGCCTCTGACATCAGACTTTCGATCCGGATCGAACGAGGTTTTTACCTTACTGTTTACTAAATACCAATACGTATGCGATCTTCAAAAGAATTCTTTCACGAGCGATTGCCGATTGTCGAATACGAATACGGAAAGCGTAGCCTATTGATCGACGAATGTTCACCTATTCATAGGTCCATTTATGCATACGTTTTGCTTCTGAGCCGCCAGCGGGTCGCGATTGTCCGCACTGAAGTATCTTCCTTCCTTCTATCCGATTGTTTTGTAGCTTCATCCGTAGTGTTGGAGCCAATGGTGCCAGTGGTATTGTCGCCGTTATTATTATTATTGCTATCAGACAGCTTGGAGCGGCGGCTCTCTCTTGTGATATTCCTCGACCGTTAGTCACAGGCCATCTGGGCCCGCTGCTATATCGCGCGAGGTACGAACATCGCAGAAGCGACGTCTAAACGCGGCGATCTTGTGGCGCCGGTGACGAATACCGCGCACCGCCTTCCTTTGTCTGCTAGAAGTGGAGCTCGAATGAAGTCCTGCTACTATCTGCTAATAAGACCTGACTGCATTCCTTTTCTTCAGTGCGGTTTAGGCTGGACTAGCCAACAGCCAGGCAACTGTACATCTTTTTAGATACAATCAACGTTTGATGATCAAAACCTTAGTCGCTGTTCGCATGCGACTGAGTTTGTTTCATCGTGATGTAGTCCCCGTTAATAAACTATAGCACAGGAATAAGTGTGAATTTTGGTACGGTAAATTCCAACCGCTGACACAGTCGCCTCAAATAGAACGACGAGAGAGAAGCACAAGTGGGGTATGCTATGCTACGAGAGAACGACTACTATGATGAGTATGTAAAAAAAAAAAAAGAGTATTGATCTCGTCATGAAAAACAATTGTGCTTGGGGCAAGCTTCTTCTAGAGCCATTCGGCTTACGAGAAGAAGCGGCCGGCACTGGAATTGGAACTGCCGTACACAGACCTTTTTCCCTATGTTAATTAGCTGTATTATTTCTGTATTTGAATATGTCTTTTATAAACTTTGTTTTACTGCTTTTTAGTTCTAACACAGTGTAGAGTGAGTGGTTGTTTTGGTTAAGGCCAGTACCGTATTGGCCAACAGCAATCTTTCCTGAAGCCGGATCCAGCGTTTTCAGAAGGAGCCAATCAAGTGATTTGGCGATCGCTCACTGTGCGCACGTACTTCCCTATTATTTTCCTAGTCCTTTGGACGCTAACAGGACGACCTAGCGAGAAAGGTTACTTTGCGGAGCCAGTGTCAGCGATCCTTCATTTTTATTGACTCGTCCTTTTTTTCGAGATTTGTTTGATCGGATTACCTGCTCATTAGATATTCCAAGGACCTTTGACGTTCTCTTCTTTAATCAATCTGAAGTCTAGTCTTGTACCTCATCCTTGCGTCCGTCCCCGCAGCATCGTTGTAGCAACCACTTCGTTTTCTTTATGGCTTTCAGCCATTCGTGTCTTTTGTTGCATGTGGCGGTACCGTCGACTGTGACACCGCTGAACGGTTATTGCCTCTGCACCTTTTCTGCATTTTCTGACTTTTCCTTTCCTAATATTCTGCTCGTACGGCCGTTACCGCTTTTTCTCGTGCTATCACCGAGCTTTCGTTTACAAGCAAGCATCAAGTTAGGCTGTGGTGAGTTAGCCAGCCAGCAAGTCGTTACTTGATTCGTTGTTGAATTGTCCGTTCGTCACGATTTCTGTGCCATCAAGCGTTCGTATATCGTTCGGACAGAGAAGGGTCTGTCCTTTCGTCCATATCCTTAATATTTTTCCTTTGCCTTCGATGGCTTACTGGCGCCAAGCACACGGCCAGGCGAAAAGAAGGTCTCCTTTGCTTCTTCGCTGGTTGTTTCTTGTTCTTCATCCTCGTTTGATTCTTGAACCTTTTTTCCCTTTTCTCGCTCGTACTTTTTCGCCCGCTCTTTTTGCCGTCTGCTGTTGGCCGGCTCCTACGGCCTGCGCAACGCATTCAATTGTGGCGCTGCATCGCTGCTGATTCCCCATACGTTGATTGGCCCTTCCGTCGGTCTGTCCATCGTTCCTTTGCCAATTGCTTCACCGCCTCGGAAGCAGCAGCTTAACACGATGATGACGGTAAAGAAGGGGCTGCCGAATTCTGTCGTAGTGCCGCTTGCTCGCTCGAGTCGTACCCGCGTGCTGCTGTAGCTAAGCACCGGCGGACCATGCTAGCAAGCTTGCTGGCGCTCGTTGACGGTGAAGTCGTCGCAGAAAGGCTAGCGAGTACCTGTTCGATCGATCTCCTTTTCACTTGACTCGACGGCCACTTGGGCAACGTAAGCGCTGGCAGCAAATGTATCGCTACGTAGCGATACATTTGCTGCTAGAGCGGCTTTCTTTGCTATTGCGATGATGTTGTTGTCATTGTCGAGTCGCTTTCCCTCTTTGGCAGACCAAGGTTTCACGGCGTCTGACTAACGCGGTGAGTAAAAAAGCAGACATCGACAACTTCCTTCCTTTGTTACCGAGTTTGATTGTCGAATAAACTGTTGCTTGAACAAGTCGTGGTATTAATGGCGCTTGTCTCACGTCGTATAGTTAGCCGCATACTCCTGTCTTTTGGTCAATGAGGCCGCTTAGCACCCCCGGATGCTCCTAGAGCTCGTTCTGATGCTGCAGCTGTTGTGACGTCACTGCCTTAAATCCTTATGACATAACTTCTAGCACGCTTAATCTTACTAATTAGCATTAGGACAGTCTCCGCGACGTCGTATCTTTATCGCGGTTGACGTTAGCTTGACAGTTACGGAAACGAGTCCATAGATAGGTAGTTCTCAGCTGTTTGTCTTGGCTGAAATCGTCAAGAGTGGTTCTCCATGTCGCCGAAACGGGATATATCTCCTATGTTAATGTCGTCATCGTTGTTGCTGTTGCTGCCGCCGCCGCCATTTTTCAGTGCCTACCATGACAGCTGCTTTTCCATTTACAACCCTACCGTTTATACGCCTAGCTGACTTTCTAGTCCTCGAACTGTTCAGCCCTTACCGGTTGTTGCTTGACAAATATATAGCGCGTAAGTTAACATGATGGTTTTGACTGGCGCCTTCCTCTTGTCTTCCGCTACAAAGTAAGAATCAGTCATAGTCGGGTCGTTCTTTGTGGCGTCCTGAGGACGTAATAATAGAAGAAACAACGATATGTAACGGGAGAGAAAACGAATCGCTAGTTAAGTTATGTGGTAAAATCGGGTCTATTAGGCTAACATTGGCATAGTTATTTGTTTTTGTTCTCACGTTACTTATTACAATAGTTCACCCTGTTTTGTTTCGTAGATACGAATAGTAAACATGTGATAAATATTAGTTGTTGTAATCGACATGTGAGATCCCATTATACAGTGACGATAACTAGAACGTCGTCTTTTAAATTGGTATGATGGTGGTATTTCAGGGCCTCATGGAGGCTACCGACACGCGTCCCCATCGGACGTGAACGGCGAGCTGGCCACCCTAGTGGCCAGGCGTAACGTTTAAAAACTGACTACTACTACTACTACCCTACCATTTGGTGGAGGGTGTGGGGCTATATTATAGCCTTGGAAGCGGCGGAGGGGTGGATCCTGGCTGGCATTCGGTCGGGCACCCCCTACCGACTTTTACGTGCAATACGCCACGCAATAATAGAACAGCTGCAGCATAATGCATCTGTCAACTGTGATATTCCTATCGTTCCTCGTGCTTGGGGCATTCTGCCTAAGGCCAACGAGTACGAGGGACTCTCTGTACGACTCGCAGGGCCTCGACGGGATAGATAGCGCCCTTACAAGGGACCCGGATCTCGACTTCAAAAAAGGCAAGAGTAAGTATCTCATCGTAAAAAATTAACCTAGCTTTCAATTTCAACTGAACTATGACATGAATACCACGGAAAGCATATAAACACACCTACAATTGCGTGTATTCATACTTAGCCACAGAACAGGACAAACGTGAAACGATAGACCAAGCCTCCGCAGATAAATACACCACTTATATATA